GACACCTGCTGTATGAGGAGAGGCTGAGAGACCTGGGGCTTTTTAGTCTGGAGGAGACTAAGGTGGGTATCTAGTTAATGTCTATAAATATATGAGGGCTGAGTGTCAAGAAGAAAGGGGCAACCTGTTTGCATTTGTACCCTATGATAGAACGAGGGGCAATGGACACAAGCTGGAGCAGAGGAAGTTCCACCTCAACATGAGGAAGAAATTATTTACTGCAAGGATTACAGAGCACTGGAACAGGTTCAACAGGGAAGTTGTGAAGTCTCTTTCCTTTGAGACTTTTAAAACCTGTCTGGATGTGTATCTGTGTGACCTGCCCTAGACTAGATGGTTCTGCTCTGGCAGGGGTGTTAGACTTGATGATCTCCAGAGGTCCCTTCCAACCCCTAACATTCTAACATTCTGTGAACATCATGAAGTTCAACAAGGCCAAGTGCAAGGCCCTGAACCTGGGTCGGGGCAATCCCAAGCACAAATACAGGCTGGGCAGAGGGCAGATAGAGAGCAATCCTGAGGAGTAAGAATTGGGGGTACTGGTTGATGAAAAGCTTAACATGAGCCAACGATGTATGAGTGCAGCCCAGAAAGCCAACCATATTCTGGGCTGCATCAAAAAGAAACATGGCTAGCAGGTCAAGGGAGGTCATTCTTCCCCTCTACTTTGTGCTGGTAAGACCCTACTTGGAGTACTGTGTTCAGCTCTGGAGATACCAACACAAGAAGGACAGGGGCCTGTTGAGGCAGGTCCAGAGAAGGGCCAGGTAGCTGGTCAGAAAGCTGGAACAACTCTCCAGGCTTAGAGTTCGGGTTGTTCAGCCTGTAGAAGAGAAGGCTCTGGGAAGACCTTACTGCAGCCTTCCAGTATCTGAAGGGGGCCTACAAGAAAGCTGGGGAGAGACATTTTACAAGGGCTTCTATTGATAGGATGAGGGATGGGATTCTATGTGTGATAACTGCCACACAATATGTATTTTGCAGATCTTCACCTTGTAAAAGCAAACATCTAGAATTTGGCCTCTATTTTTATTATCAGATAATAAACATTTTAAACACGTATTTGCTAGTATTTCCTGTACTGTTGCTACAGTTAGTATGATTTGTAGTCAATGCTATGAATTTTTCTTATATTTCATTTTAATCAGGACTGCAGAATAATTCTGTGGTTTTAGTTTTGCATCTGAAAAAAAGGAATTACAGTAAATACGTTAATTCTATTGCCTAGGATACTTGAGTTACCGTGGGAAACTGAGACAGCTCCTCCTACACTTCATGATCCAAGTAAAAACTTTTTTTCGGTCAAAATTGCATTGTAACATCAACTAAAACTAGCTAATGTTTTCCATTTACTACCACCATGATTTCCAGCATTTTAGCTGTATATCTTCTCTCTCCTTTACTTCAAGTAACTATGATCTCATGGTGGTATTACTTCTCACTTACTGTTTCCAGAGAATAGCCCCACCACATGGGAAGGGCAATTAAAAAACACTGTCATCTGCACAGACTTTTTAGTGTTTATTCTTCAAATTCTAGTCTTTGGAGTACTTACCACTCATACGTAACTGTCTCATGCCTTTATATAAGAACAAATACATATGGTAATATGCAGAAGAAGTTTTACAGGTAAATTAAAACCATGTAGGCTCCAGGAAGGGAAAACAAGCACATTCATCACCCGTGCTTTGGCACTGAGAGGGGCAGGGCTTGACTGTGGCCATGCAGGTGTTATAAAGCAGACACGCAGCATCCACAGCTGTGACATTATCTATAAAATAGACAGCAATGTGCACAGACATAAAAGCAAAGGTATTTGTGGCAGCTTTGTGAGATGAATGCATAAATCTTATCAAACACAGATTTTATCTTTTGAATTGTACACTGCAAAAACCACATAGAAGTTGCATGGAATAGTTCTGTTAAATTTATCTGTTTAGTCGTTCCTGTTTGCTTTTGCCGTGCATTCATTTTAAAGGGTGTTCTAAATGACTTCTTACCTTCCAAGGCAGAAACATGGCTTTGCAGCAGCTCTCTCCTCTAGGAACCCCACTTAATACTTCTGCAGTGGTGTTTCTGTTGTGGTTCCTCATATACAGTGTCAGAGGACAGCAGTGGGTGACTTTGTTCCTGTTTTCTTATGGGTTTGATAATTTACTCTAATTTTAGATGTTGACTGTTTTTGGCAAGAGTCAGTTGGGCTAGATCAATTGAACCTTGTACCAGCAGCTTCATTCAATAGTCTTCATGAGCACAAATTCTCTGCTGGACTTTCATTTTCTTTCTAAAGAACTTCTTGCATTTTACTCATCTGTAAATAAACTTATGCATAGGTATAGAGTATTTTCAACATTTAAAGATGTACCAAGCATTAGTTATTGTTAGATTAAAAAAAATCTTACAAATTTCTCTTCCTCCCATTCATAATGCTCTTTGCTTTTCTTCTGCAGAAGTTCAATGATTCCATAAAATTTGTTGGATGTTGTGACAGAAAGTCACGCCAAGAGCAAGTATTTATTGTGTAAAAAAATGTCAAAAAAACATTTAATCCGCTTTAAAGTGAAGTATGCTTTTTCTCTAAATGAAACCAACCTTTTTGTAGATTTCAGCAAACTCATCAGTTTAACTGCAGTTCCACTCTACAGCTTAGGGTTAAAGGTTATGTTACCAGAATGGCCTCACAGGGGCCATTACAGGTCCCTAGATTGCACCCATGTACTATTCACAAAGTCAACAGTAGGCCAGCATCATCATGGTGAGCACTGGGAACAGGGATGTCCTGGGGGACCTCAACTGTGTCCATAAACTGTATGATATGTGGCTGATACCAGTCGCAAAAAGCTACTTATGAACTTCATTCGTTAAAAGCAGTGCAAGGTTTCTCTTGTCAGTTTATGCTCTGTCATACTGGTGACAAGGCCAGGGTTTAACCTGAGAAGTAACTGTCTGTCAGGGCGTGATCCACTTTCAGCAAGAGAAATGAACATATCGCAGAGCTCTATCTGCAGTGGCAGAGACCTGTTTGGGAGAAACGTGCCCTTACCTTTCACCTGTGGCTCCCAGCTGAGCTGGTGAAATGCAGAAAATAACAACGTTCTTGCCAAGCTGATTCTCACCTAAAATCTGATGCTTCCATGACCAGCCAACTAGCAGCAAGAGACAGCATCCAGACCTTGAGGTGATTCTCTGCCCTGCACCAAATCCATGGTGATTCACAGGAAGGTCAAAACCATAGTGGATGTTCACAAAGCTTGTGTTCACAAGCTCTCCACGAGGACGAAATAAAGTTCTGATCTCCACAGGCAAAGAGCTGAAGTCATGTGTGATTATACTTGCAGTGTCTTACACTCTACTATCTTTAGAACTTATTTCACAGCTTTATCTCCAGACAGTTCAGACGTTTGTTTTCTTTACTGCTTGCTACCACCATGATGGAGTTTTTAATAAACTTTATGGACAAAGATTGCATCATCCATCAATTGCAAATATGAAATCCATTTGAGGACTCTCAGCAAAAGTTTTCTGGGGCAATAATCTGAAAATGTTTAATTTGACTATATAGTCTTTTATGTCTTCCCTTATTAGAGGAACTTTCTGTTCTGCTCAGTAGGACAGAGATGTCTCCTGGTTTGATGCAAATACCAATATTTCTCCTTTTTTCATGTTAGACTTTAGCACATTAGCAGGAGTATCAGCTGCACATAGGCTAGGTTTTTCTTTGCCCTTGGACAGTTCTAAAATACTGGCTTGCATCTAATTCTGTTGGCCTCTTTCTATCTTATTACCAGATGATTTTGACTATATTTTATAGCTTGCCATCTACCTTTTTGCTTTTTTTTGTCTGTTTTATGTTTTCTACATTTCATTTTAACTAAGATGGCTTCTCAGCTGCTATAAAGTTTTGTACCTTTGTGGAATGATGTCTTTTTCAGCATTCACTGGGAAATGTTCAAAGAGTTCTAGATTTTGCTAGAAGTGCCATTAACACTTTAATGTAACTTCATAATGAATTATTGAAACCATCATGTTAAAGGAATTATTTTCACTGTGAGTGACTCTTTGTAATAGTGATGCAGTGAGAGTTCTGATAAGGCTCATGTTCTTTTGCTGCAATGTGAATGCCTCTTGCCTGTCCATCACAGCTGACATTCAAGAAATGAATTGATCATTCATTCTGGGTTGTGACAAAAAGTGTTTCATGGTGGGAATCGGTGCTCTCTGTATACACTGTCAACAACATTTTTAAAGTGTGATGCCTGGGGAAGGGAAAAACTCATTCTACTTAATGGTCGATTGGTATTTTTATGTCTGCCCTATTCTGAAGTTGTATCTGGTTTATAAATGTCTAGGAAGTTGCCTACACGATGACTAAGAGGGTGACATAGTCAATAAAGTCTCATGAGTTTTTTTATATTCAGTTGTAAAATAGGTTTTGCAGCTTGAAAATCTAACTCGATAACTAAAACCACAGATGTCTGTATATTGAAATCAGTGGTAATATCAGTGAAATATTGGTAATACTGATATATACATTGGTATCAATGTGGTAAAGATTTAGAAGCACAGTACATCCTTAATGTGTTAGTACTCAAGCCGTCACTGAAGTTTTACTCAGTTATTATATCCAATGTGCAGTATTACTGAAAGTTCCTCAGCAAAGTCACCTATGCTGACTTACAACCTGTGGTTGTAAGACAGGGGCCATTTTTTAGCAATATCTGATTTCATTCTAATTTGAATAAAACTTTAGCTAACATTTTCAAAGATGCTTGGGACAAAACCACATAACTCCATATAACTAATTAAAGACAGGTTCATATCTTAGGTCCTGTTATCAACTTCCTGCTG